CCGACCGGACCGACCCTTCATTTAGTTGCATTGGTAGAATCCAGGAAGATATATACAAAACTGTAATTTAAAAAGTTTTTCTCACAGATAATTAATGATCGACTTTATTAATAACTTGAACACAACATACCCTCAGTCTTTGAGCGTCTTCTAATGAAGCGGAGGCATGGTAACTTAACACCTCTAGGGTCACACTTTGTTTTGCCATTGCTATCACAGCCTTCTCATACCTGCAACAGGTACATGACACATCATCATGGCTGCAGCAGAACACAGTTTCAACTATCAACAAACTCTTATTTAGAGCACAAATATTTCAGGCTAGTGACTTCAAGGCTTTTATTAGCACAGTATCACCTCTCTGCAGCCACATGCTGTCCATTCTTACTGATCAACCTTTAGGGTTTAGAGTAAGACAAAAAAGTTTAAAGAGGAATACTTGATGACAGCAGCAAATAGAAGTCAATGGTTTCTTCTTCATTTTTCTCCATGCATGCTGGTTTCTCCTTCTCAAAAATTAGTTTTACAAAAGTCTTTCCATAAATGGCTACATATTACTAGTAGAATTATTTTCAAAAATTGATCGATTTGTTTATAATAAATGACAGTGAATAACTGTTGCACTGAGAGATGCAATATTTATGGGCACACTTGGACATAGCATACAGGCTGACACATTTACACTTCTGTTATCTATTTATTTAAACTGAAGTTATGTGAAATTCAGGGGTAATAAGTGTTAAATTAGAGGAGGAGGCGGTGGTGGCGGTGGTAGTAGTAGGAGGAGGAGAGGGAGGGGATGATGACAATGAAAATTAAGGGTGTGATAAAGCACATATCTGGACAAATTGAGTAAAATCACCATTTCCTGGCCAAAATCTGAACTGGGGACCTGATGAAAGCAGATCAGGAATGGTTTTCTGGAAGTAACACCTAGTAGTTCAAGCTACAGGTATGAAGGCTTAAAAGAACCTGTTAGCTTTGTCAAGGTAGAAGTGACTCTTCTACCTTGAAGATGGAGCCAGCAGGTTCTTCCAAAATGCTGGTACCCAACTACCTTTCTGCATGGTGCCACACCATAGAATACCAAGTCACGACATCTGCCTCTGTGGAAATCCAAAATCCCAAACAGAAATGATATCCACTACAGTGCAATATTTAGCATTTTTAAAATTGAATGGCAGAGACCAAAACCGGGAATTTAACGCTAATTTTGAGCATCTACTGTCTGTACATGAGGAATTCTAAGTTCTCTGTGCAACTGTCATGAAAACAAATGATAAATGTATTGTGTCTGTGTATTGGCAAGGGGTAAAGATTATTTCAGCCAGTCACGGTAGCCGAGCGGTCTAAGGCGTGCACTGTCTTCGCTCGCTCGGAAACCGAGGTCGTGGGTTCGAATCCCACTCAGGGCATGGATGTTTGTGTGCGTTTTTCTGTGTTTGTCTACAGGTAGAGGCCTTGCGACGAGCTGATAACTCGCCCAAGTAGTCCTACCGTATGTGTAAGATCTAGAAAAACCGAAGTGAACAGAGAAGTTCATGGAGGTAGGCCTAGGTCCACTGGGGCTGTAGTGCGAAGGGGAGAAAAAAAAAGGATTATTTCATTACCAGAAGTCAATCTAGTCACTTACTGAAGAAATGACACTTAATACTGGACCATGAAATATTCATTAATAAGAAAACAATGTTAATACAAGAGTAACCTGTACGTTACCTAGTAATTAGGTCATATTCTGTAGTATGTGTTTTATGGGAACTTCTTACAGACGAAAATTAATATTTTTATCATACATACTGATGTTTTAGATGCAAAACTAATCTTGGCATAACAATGTGTGAGAAGTACATAAGTATTGAACAGTTTCACTGCCCATGGACTTTCACCTGGTAAGCATTTCTGACCACTCCACCAAAAGAGAGCATGTATGTTATTGATATGAAAAGCTTAATTACAAGCAAAACATTTCTAGAATGTAAGTATATGTATTCATTCATTCATTCATTCATCAGTAATCTGTCAGATGACAGGTCCACAGTCTCTTCCAAAACAGTTCCTCCACTTAATGCGATCTAGAGCTTTCTCCTTCAAATGAGAATATCCTCTTCTGTCCCCAAGGTCATCCAGCATCTTCTTATGTCTTCTTCCTCATCTTCTGGTCACTTCTATCCACCCCTCTATCTTTCCTTCAATAACTTCTTTTAGAAGGCAGTTACTGCATAAGATATAACCAATNACTGGGGTTGGTTGTCTCGAAATTTTCATTACATATGTTTTTTCCACATTCATTTCCTTGCCATAGCACCTCCCAATCAATCATGCCCTGTAACACAGTTTCTTCCTTAGCCATTAACACAAGGTCATCTGCATATTTCACAGTTTGAATAATTCTCCCTTCTAATTTGAAGTCTCCAAGCCCAAGTATATGTATACGAATATTTAAATTATCTACAGTATTTATGTCCTAAACCAAGTGGTAAGAATTCCAGCCCCAAAAAATAATGGATTTATTTAAACTTGTTCTCTGAACCACTGACATACTCTTGGCTGTGAGACATTGGCTCACAACTGCGTTTACAGATGTGAAACATTAGCAGGCGGAAGTCTAAATAAATCTCTACTGGATGACAGAAGTCATGTACCTATACAAAACTAAGCTTAGGTACTTCTTTCCAAAATTTTTAGATCAATTTTGAATATACAATGAATAGGCAAGAACAAACAATATGCTGATTGGTTACATTCTAATGAAATTACAATGTAACTGTTACAGAGGATTAAATAAATCATATGTGCAAGGTATTAATGTGTAAATTTCATTCTTAGCTACTTAGCAAAACAATATTTATGTGATAATACCAAAACAGATGCTTGCATGAGGAGAAATATTTTAAGATTTTCAGTCTGAGGATTATATCACAGCAACCTATTTAAGACCTTTCTGAAGAAAAGTATGTAGTACAGAATGAAAGAAATAGATTCATCACAGGCAACTCTCAAAATGGTATAACGATGAAGTGTTTTCACTTTAACTTACATACAAATATCCTGCATAAATAATGATAGGTTTTCTGTGCATGTAAATGAAGGCTTTTTAGACAAAACATTTTGTTCACACCCAAAGAAACTAGAATTATATTTTAAAATTTAAACACATAAATAATGTATACTCACATATGCGTGTTATGGATTCCCATTCCACAGAAAATTGCAAATGCTTCAACAAAGTTCTCATCATTTTTTGTAAAGTGTAAGTCATCAAATTTGTTAATGAGCTGAAAGAAATGAAAGATAATTCAAATCAATAATTGTTCAGTACAGTTCTAACCTCAAGGGCATGTCTCAAGGTCAGACATGTATATAATTAAGATATGCATGTAAGCAGATATGTACGTAAGTTGTCTTACTTGTATGACACCTATGATTTGCCCTGAGGAGTTCTTAATCGCCATACACAGGATGGTCTTGTGACGGAAGCATGAACCATCATCTACTGAGGGGTCAAACCTCTCATCTTCGTAGGCATTTGGAATATTTACCGTCTGAAACACAACGTATTCACTCTATACACTTCTACAAAAGCTTGTTCCTCCAGATTGCAATATGGAGAGTAAAGTCCAGACTTAAAAGTAATTTTTAAGCATTCCATGGCTTGGTTGTTTATTGAAAGTAGTGTCAACATTCACTCCACTTTCCTCCAATCCAATGCCATTCCCCTCCTAGAGGGCATGAATATGGAGTCAGACTTCAAGAGGGAATACAAAGAAAAACAAGAGAAAGAATAACAAAAAGAACTGAGAAAAATTAATAATAGAATAATATTGTATGGCATGTTCTCAGAATGAATGAAGGTCGAATCCCAAAGGAAGTTCTGAATATAAGACTAGAAGGAAAATACCATGAGGAAGAAAGAGATCAAAATGAAAGAAGAGACTAGGAAAGACATTACATATAAGGAAGGAAGAATATGGGAATAGAGAAGGAGGAGGAGGAGGAGAAGGAGCTTTGGGAAGAGACAGATAGAAGGAAAGGCATGGTGGCGAGATGACCTAGATAAATGCAGAAACGCCAAAGGAAGAAAGGGGAATGACAAAAGCAGTGTTTGTAATAAATTTTATCACCTTTCCTTAAAAGTGCCTGCTTTACCCAAGATATGTAATAATGTAAAATATTTACGCCATTAAAATACACAAAAAAACTGCATGAGGTAGCTGTATTTCAACCAAATTACTGAACACCAGACAACAGTTTCTGAGCATTTAATATTTATATTGAAGATACTATCTACTCATAAAATAATAAATGCAACAATGTAAACATAAACTGAAATTTAACAGTAATATGTTCCAAACAGTTATACAGAGAAGCACAGAATATTAATTCTGCCATGAAACTGATGTTATAATCACGTGACAGAAATAAATACATAGATGTAATCAACACAATATTCACTTAGAATCTAGTTCAGCTTTGCACCACTACCTACAGTCCTGCATTATGCACTGAAGGGATTAGATCTGTTGTTACATTAACATACGTGTATATACCTAAGCGCTGAGGGGATCAAAACTCTGAATACCCCATGACACATAAATACTAGAGGGGAATAACTGGTCAGTACCACTGCCTGGCTCTTTAAACCTCTAAGACACAGCTCCTTCCTTCTAACATGAGGTTGCAAGACCAAAAGTCCCCTTGCCCATATTAGGTTCAAAACTAATCATTCAATTTACTGAAACATGCCAAGTATGGTAAATGCTTAATGAGATGAAACAAGCGTTGAGTTGAGCCTTCAAGTATAGTAAGAGTGCCATCAATTTAATTTGTATAAGAAATATTAATGTTAAATTCCCCCCCCCCCAAAAAAAAACATTGTTTTGCTGCATTGGATCCCTGACACATATATGTCAATGACCTGTTCTAAAGGGCATTCTATTCTATTCCTTGCCAATTTATTGGAGTGTTTGCAGCAGAAATATGTGTTATCTTGCTGTAATGTCACACTCTCATGTTCATTACCTTAATACAGAAATGAAAAGGAACAGAAAATTAAATACACAGCAAAATAGTAGGTACAATTTTCACATGGAAATGTTCCTCAAAGTATAACAATATGCTACAGCGAAGACAGCTTGGGAGTGAATTATTTGCTTGTTATAGAAGATATAATGAATACAAGAATATCTGATGAATTATTTTGAATTACACACAAGTATTACTCCGATTAAATGACAAATATTTACTAGCATACTATTTCTAAATGAAATTTACACGTACCAATAACCATTAAAGTGTTAAGATATTCTCAGGCAATGACATGACATCAATCCCTATTGACAGACAGACTCCAAAAATTTGACTTCTGCTTGGAACTGATGTGGCTGCTTGCTCAAGTGGATTTAGTTACCATGAAAGTGTCATGTCAAGCAAAACAGTTACTAACTTATATTAGGAATGCAAAGGTAAAATTATAAGCATTCTTCCAGATGTTGGCAAACAAATGACTTCATGCTCTACTTACATTTACTCCCTTCACATCAGAGGAAACAAACCCAGTAGTGGTTATGCTGAAGGCTTACTTGGCCCTAAAGACATTTTGGACATGGGAAGAAATTAAATATCTCTGCTGAGAAAATGACTCCAAATATCCAGTTCATAAGGCATCACTTTAATAACTGAGTTCTCGTGGTTTCAATTTTTCCTTTCAGCCTACTTTCATTCCTAAAGGAAAGCATGCAGTTGAGATAACTATGCTTTGTGATTGCATGTCAGTCTGTCTCTGACCAACCGCCCCCCCCCATTCCAAGTTTTTGACAACTTGACCAATTTTCAGGAACATTAAACCACTGATAGACACATCAATTAATATATCAGTAATATTGATAGTAATACTGATCAGTAATATTAATTACAATCAGTAATAATGACATGGCAGATACACAAAACTGTAAGGTGGAGTGTCACAAGTGCCACTAAATTTGGGTTCCTGAAATGATACATGACAACAGATCTTCAAAACATAAGCAAATCTTGTAGAGGCAAAATTTCTGTATAATGTAAAATAATAACATGCCAATCAAGTGAAAAATGTTTTTAGCTATTCGTCTGATTTTGATAACTAATGAAGGCACAATTTGGTAGAGATAAAGCTAAAACATTCCTACATTTTATGCACGAAATCAAATAATTACAAATATGGTGATGGTGCAAACTTTAAGGTTATATCCAACAAATGTTATGTAAATAAAATCTGTTTCAGTTCTTCACAGAAATAACACTACTACTAATAACAGATATAAAATACAAGAAATCTATGGAACAGGATAGTAGGCTTTGAGAGTTCTCCTCAAAACTCATTGTTAAGTAACAGTGAAATTCACTACCAAGCTGCCTTACATCTTCCATGCTGATAGACACACAACGAATAAGCCACTCACTACATGCAGCAGGAGTCAGGCCCACTCCCCTACATACCTCACCTGTGGTGGCTACATAACCCGTAATGCCGATATTGATGGGGAATCGACTCTCAAATGGGCTGAAACAAGAACAAACACAGCAAATATTTATATATTATCAGGAAAAAACAAAGACAAAAGTAAGAGAAGAAACAGCTATCAGCAATATACAGTGCAAGATAGCAGCAGCAATATGAGAGTTAACAGAAACAGAAGGCACACTGCAATTATTCTTCCACATTTCAGACTTTTCCAGTAGATTACCAAGGAAAGAATAACACATTTATCTACAATTATCATAAAAGAAATAACTTCATTTTTAACATCATTACTCTTGATGGGTAATATAACATGCAAGAAAGGAGAGAGAAATTCATATAACATTTTGGACAGTAACACCTGAAGAAAGGGGATGAAGACAGAGATCTAGATACAGATGGAAGGACAATATTGAACTGGATATTAAAGAAAGGGTAGGGATACACACTGGATTTATCTCACTCACGACAGACAGAGTCCAGTGGAAGGAACTGGTATACATGGCATTGAACTTTCCAGTTTCATAAAATGCCAGGAATATTTTGATTAGCTGACTGATAAATAGCTTCTAAACGATATCGCTAGTCCATAGATTTAGTAATGTTGATTAGTGAGTTACAATTTTCCTTTTATCTTAACAAAACATTTTTCTGAGGGAAGACGAACTGTGTCATCTGCCAAATGACGTGTGCATGACATGTAAAAGCTTGTAAAATTCTCCTGTTTCCTGAGAATCCAATTTCTAATACTGTATAAAATTAAATACTTTTGACTGCAATATTTGTGTGGCAGTTACAAAGCTATTATATTGCAGGTATTTCACAGCCCTTAGTTCAATGTCTCTAAATCACTGCACGTTATCAAAGCTAAAAAATTGAAAAATTAAATTATGATCAATAAACAAATTTATGACTGCAGATATCAGTGTTACTACAACTGCAAGAAAACAGCTACACACACATGGAAGCAGATAATGTACTTTATAATATAACAATATTAATACACAGAATTAACAGACAGCAAGGGAACTATTTCTTTAAAAAGTTTCCTGAAAGTCAGTGGATGCTTATGGGTGAGGGCTGTAATACTGCAGCACGTACTTATGCAATGACAAAATGAACACATAACTCAAGATATCAGCTTCATGGATTTAGCAATTAACTTCTTAACCCTATAAAATTCAATGTTCACATGTGTGTACAAATATACAAGCATACTGCCCAGTGCCACTAGGCTTATTTTCGACTCTATCCATCGTCTGGTATATAGAAGACAAAAACCACAACGTTTCTGAGACTGCATCCGTTCCGTCCTCAGGTGGATGGAGCAGGATAAACCTACTCAGGTGGGCCCGTTAGAAAGAGCTAGTCTCAAGCATACTGCACCCAGTCATAAGATATGACTACAGCAGATAAATGAATAATTAATGGTATACATGTTTAAGTTGTTCACCTGGTACGTGCATCGTTCTCTTCCCCATTCAAGTCATTGGCTTCAAAGTCAAATACTCGTGAGAAACTACCTTTTGAAGCTTTGTGGACTAGTAATACCTGCAAAGAAAGCAACATATTAGCATTTAAAGAATACATACCCTTTAATTTATTTAATTTTAACAATGAGATTCACAAATACAAAACTAGAGCCCTCAATAATCTATATTTACCTGCAGTTAACCTAACAAAATTCAATAAAGGTGCGTACGTAGCAGGTATTGAAGTTTTTAATCATCTTCTCAAACATTAAAAATGTTGGCTACTGATGTGAGAAGTTTTAAATCTGCATTGAAGAGATTTCTACATCATCATGCCTTTTATTCTATGAATAAACATTATCAACATAATTGGTCATAAGTGTGTAAAATTTTTACTTTATATTATCATTTATGTTAATCGATTAATGTAAGTGATTTTGATTATGTGACGCGTGTAATTTTGTTTATGTATCTTGATATAACTATATTCAAAGGGACCACGTCCACATCCTAGATTTGTTACCTGTATGGATATATGAAAAATAAAGGAAATGAATGAATAATATAGGTATCAAACATCAGATTCATTGACATCTGTGAAATAGTTTCAGTGATGTGAAGACAGCCCAACAAAAGGACACACCCATCCTTTGTGTCATTATATTCATTTCAGGGAAAAAGAGAAACATCTACTGGTACTATTGGCTGTCCCATAGATTTCTCCAGAGATGTGAAACATTTCTTGCTTAGCAATTAAGCACACACCTGAACCCTCTGACACTGTATGAGTGACTGAGTGTGCGTGAGGATTCTCAACACCATATGTTCGATGGTGCTCTGCTCTTCGAAGATCATTCGCGCGAGATCAAGAAGAACCTGGTTCCGCTTCACTTCAAGCTGACTCTTCTCATAGAGCTGGGCATTCCGCAGCCCAATGCCACAGAACTGCAGATAGCTGGAGAACACTTTCTCATCGTTACTTGTGAAACAGTTGTCATTCTGCTTGTTGATCACCTGCAACAGGAGTGACTCAGCTTTATGCAGATCAGAGGAGCGAACAGCACACTGCGATAACAAAGTAAATCAATAAATACAGCAATAATGCAGAAGTAAACATTGCCACATTCAGTTTGGTACATTTCAAATGCATGTTGTGTTTCTTAACTTATTTAATAACACTGTTCGGTCCGATGACTTTGACTGGAAACTTGAATTGAACACTGAATGAGAAATTGTTGCCTATTTTAGGATACTTTCTTAATACTTCCCTGGAGTGACTGAGGAAAACAATGACAAATTTTCTTAAAGAAATAATCTCTCAGTTGAGAATTTAAGATAGCACCATTACAATATTTAGTTAAACTAAAGAATCTTTTAAGTAGGGTCAATAATGTCATGAAGTAATGCAAAAACTGCTGAACATTTCTAAACTTATGATATTAGAGGTAAGTCACTATGCACCTGCTGATGGCTCCCCCTGAGCATAATGTGGAAGCTTTTCATCCACTCCCTGACAGAAAGGGAGAAGAAAGTCATCTCCAAGGACCAAATTACTTCCTCTAACATCATTTTCTTAGGCCTTCCTTCCCACTTTCTGCCTGCTAGGGTCCTGAAAAAGGCTCTCTTCCCAATTTTCTGGTTCAAATTTCCTTCCAGTGAAGAAATCTTATGGGAGCCCTGAGATGGGCCATCTTTTACCCCTCTTCCTTTCTCAACGCTCTATTTCTCCTCCTGAAAAGAACACTGTGCCCATGGAAAGGCCCGTCCTTTGTCACTATTCCATTCTCCATATGTGACAAAAACTAATACGTCCTTTAAAAGCAACACTTCATTACCCATTCTTTCCAGTTGCCCACATTGAGCCATAATAAGTCACATTTGTCCCCCTCCCTTGGGCCTCATCACAAACTTCCTTGCAACTTGTGTATATACTCAAGAAATTCTCTCTGAGTCTACACACTTCAATCCTGAAGCTGAAGATAGTACAATCTTCTCAGAAGTTGGTCTCTACCTACAAATCTACACTGTGTCACAACTCAGATGACTGGAATATGAGCAATCACAACCACAAAAATCTCTTAAACTTACACAATCTGTTTCACACAGATTAAATTACATTTATCCCTCTGTTTTGGAATGAAGCTTACAGAGTTACTTTCCATCATTTCTTTGTATCTGAAAAGAGAAGTGGGCCCAGCTGTGCACCATCCACTGCATTACTGGGTTTAAAAGCTTCCTAATTTTGGCAAACTACCATCTCTACACCAATTTTTGAGCCAAACTTACCTGAGCCACTCCAATAACATCGCCATTGAAGTCCTTGATGGGCATACAAAGTAAAGTCCGTGTCTTGTACCCTGTTCGCGCATCAATGTCATGGTTAAATCGGTCATCCTGAAAAGGAAGCATAACTTTACATGTATTATTGCAGCGACAGAATATTGCAATGATATAGGATACTTACTTACTTACTCATGGAGCTGAGCCCTTCTTGAGAAGATGCCAATTCTGCAGCTACTCAAGAAATTCCCAGCATTTTATGGAACCCAAAGGTTCATTACCGTGTTCACAAGAGCCCTCCACTGGTCCCTATCCTGAGCCACATCAATCCAATCCATACCAATCCATCCTATCTCTCTAAGATCCGTTTTAATATTATCCACCCACCTATGCCTTGGGTCTTGCCAGTGGGCTCTTTCCTTCTGGCTTTCCCACCAATAACCTATACACATTCCTCTTCTCTCCTATTCTTGCTACATGCCCTGCCCACCTCACCCTCCTTTACTTGATCATTCTAATTATACTTGGAGAAGAGTACAAGTTATGAAGCTCCTCATTGTGCAGTTTTCTCAAACCTCCTGTCACTTCATCTCTCTTCGGTCCAAATATTCTCCTCAACACCCTGTTCTCAAACATCCTCAGTCTATGTTCCTCCCTTAATGTCAGAGACCAAGTTTCACACCCATACAGAACCACAGGAAAAATTATAGTTTTTTTATATTCTATTTTTTTGGGACAACAGAGGAGAAGACAAAAGGTTCTGAACTGAATGGTAGCAAGCATTACCCGAGTTCAATCTCCTCTTAATTTCCTCCTGAATCAGGTTTCAATCTGTTATCGTTGTTCCCAAATATCTGAACTGTGCCACATTTTTAAAAACATCTGTTTGCTATCTTTATGTCATGATTTTGCCCTGCATTTTGGTGACGAAACAGCAACATACACGTATACATATGATATAGGATATAAGGTAAAATATTTTTGCTCCTACACGAACTCAACTCTCCTCAAAAGCTGTTTGAACATAGGGAAATATGTACTAAAGCAGTGTAGCAGATGACTTCACTCTGTGAAGTTTGTGATACATAAATTAACAACGACTGCTACATTTATTTTTTATAATAGGGAAAAGGGCTCACTGAAATTCACATTCATATCGTCACCCTTCATAATTTCCTTATTTTCCCAATAAAGCAGTGCCAGATTCTACACTGTCACACCACTTGATATTGTACGTACAAACCAGCGTTTCAGAGGAATATGATGCGTCCATCTTCAGGATCAGCCCTAAATATGGATTTAGTATATGCCTCAAAAGCATTGGTTTCCACCTACATCCCTCAGATGGCTTTCTTTTATTTGAAAAGAAAATCAAGTATAAATGGCCTAGACTGCCACCTATGAACTACGTGAAAACTACATGTTTATATGGAAACAGATGGATATAACATAACGACATAAACAGCGTAAAACATTTAAATATTATATCGTGTATAAACAGGCAACGGCGCGATAAACACCTTCTCGCTTAAGGTCACGCAACAATATGACGAATGTTTATAGCATGTTGCTAGGAAACAATCAGCGCACCAATGGACGGGTGACATAGCTAACAAGTGACTTGTTTTCAAAGTGGTATGCGTCATATAACAATAGAGGGGCTGTGTTTTCTGTGCGTGGTCCGTGCTGAGAGTATATGAAAGAATACAGGACTGGGAATTGACTTCACTTGATTTCCGCTGCTGTTGCAGCGTGGGCAGAAGAAGAATTAGAAGACTTAGTGTGTGACATTACATATGCTATAGTTACAGTAACCTTGAGAGTTTAAGAAGTAATTGTAGTTGCCACTAGTGAAGATCCAATAAACCGATTCACCAAATCAAACCCGCGTCTCAGTCACTGAAACACGCGACAATATGTATAGAATTTGCCTTCTACCAATAAGAACACGACAGAGTGGTTACACAAACAATTTCTCGCGCTACGTACAAGTGTATGCTACTTCCAAGCATTATCCTGCATTCTACAAGCAACCGCGAAATTACAATCAGGAACTTTACGAATACAACCGCTGGGTATGGCTGATAGCGCATCTGAACGGTTGTCCTTTTTGTTTATTCAGAGATGTTACGACTACTGTAAACTACATGGATGACTGTGAACCCATATGATAACTGAATAAGTTCACAGGGTCACGGAAAGAAGCGTCCTGAAAGTTTCTACGTTAACCCTTTAAAGCATGAAAATTATCGATATAATATTTAAATATTCTATCCCAATGCGCCTCCATTATAATTCTGAATAGGCATATTAAGCCCATAAATATACACTGTAAGCAAATTGCAGAGTTTATTAACGTTACAGCGGGTGGTACATATAATTAGGTACTGTGCTTTAAAAGATCAAGCTGTTGTCCTACTACCTGCTTGAACGGTATGGGAAAAACGCGAAGAACAGCCGAGTGTCTAACCGGGGACCATTTGAACGCTGAGGATGAGCATCTTCTTTGACACATCTAACAGAAAAGAGACATCGGAAAGCAGCAGTGACGGATTAGCTTTAGGTCTAATCCAACAATCGCCTGTAGCAGCGACCTAAGAAAGTAATGAATTCAAGACGACTTCCTGCTTAAGATTACCAATCTCGTTAATACCATGATAAAGTACATAAAAGTAAAAAGTTAGAAGATAGACTTGGAGAACTAGTTAATTTACTGCGCCGTGCAACAGAGGTCAGGAAACGTGGCATAACTTGTTTTGGGTTTCTCGAGTGGCAAGGATTGCCAGCAGACAAAATTACCAGGACCGAGGCTGCCTCGCGTACTTTAAATTACATTTAAACTTAATGAGAACTGCGACCTGCCTGGAAACTTCACTGTAAACTTTCTTCTGAGTACAATTATACAGATTTATGAATTACCGAGAAAAGTAAGGGTTAAGTGGCAGATATATTACCACTAGTCTCATCACAATTATAAAAACATTACTGTTGTAATTACCAAAATAAGGCGTTCAAAAAAGGTTAACCGCCGGTTCCCTGTGGCATAATAGAACACACACTTTAGCCAACACAAGACTTTTTGGGGTTCTTTCATTTTTTTCTGCTATGCTGGAAATCAATCTTCGTCATTCACGTATTGCCACCAACATTACTCGTATATGTTGATAGCATCGCTAAATAATAGACCGTTCAAAAGTAGAAATCAAGCACTTGTCGATGAAGTGACTGAAACCACATTACGACTCCAATGTCCTTACCCGATGACTCTGAAACCACGGCAAAATTCCGATGTTGTTTCAAGATTACACTGAAAACATATTAAGATTCCAACACTATCAAAACCACGTTAAGATTCCAATACTATTACAAAATGACTATGAAACCACGTTAAGATTCCAATACTATAAAAATGACTATGAAACGACGTTAAGATCCCAATATTACTTCAGCATGACTGTGAAACCATACTAGGAGTGTAACCATATTTCAAATTGAACTAGTTCTTTGAATTTCGGGAAACATAAACAACAAAATCCAGATTAACTGCTATTTAAAGTGGAAAGGTTAATTTGCATCGTAGCGACGTTTCCTTCAAACGCTTTGTTTTGTGTCTATGATCCTGGGCAACAGGGGGTTTAACTAGAAATTGCTTCACGTTATTTTCATGTTGGATGGGGATATATTGCGTAGTGTGTAATTGTGTTATGGTAATTCCTTTAACACTTTATAATAGCCGCCACAAGCTAATCCCCACTGACTCACTTATGAAATGTCACTGAAGCTATCCTCTTTGGTCGTATCCAGCAGTCTGCAGCACTTCCACGCTCCATGTATTGACCAACAAGAAATGATCCTGGGAATTTTCTGCAGAATAGAAATGTGGGGGCATAAAAATGAGAAAGGACGAAGAAACCTTAGTAACACGATTAGGAGTAACAGGACCTAACATATTAACAAACCCATGTAAGGTCCTAGTGTATGGCTCAATCACACCGTCACACAAGCAGCCATTGCGAGGATCGGTCTCGTAACCTCTTCCCCGAAGCGGCATCCGTAGTCTAGAGGTAACGTTCCCACCTCATGACTCGTAGTACGCGGGTTCAAATACCCGGCGGAGGTCGTCGAATTTTTAAGGGCGGAAAAGTTCAGGGAACAAGTCCTCCGGGAGGGACTTTAAGCCGTGGGTCCCGTGTCGTAGCTTTACGGCACGTAAAAGAACCTCATATCTCCAAAGGAGGTCACTGAGCCAAAATTGCGGACGTTTGCCGCCCAACAGCAGTCACTAATACCTCCGGTAGATGGGGGAAGCATTATAGATACTTCTCAGCTAGTAGAGCCGGTCTCGCTGGCTGGGCGGGACTGATGGTAAGCACCAATACCGGTAGGATATAGAGACTGGTAGAAATCATAGAGGGAAGCACAATGGACCACTACAGGTCTAAGTGCATGGGGAAACCCACCCTCTCTAATAACTAACTAACCTCTTCCCCGAGTTCAGTTTTTGGAAGGGCAGATCGTGATGATGATCGCCATGATGACATTTATCTTCTTTCCTTTTAGACTGTCACTAGCTGCGAGCTGTACGACCCAGATTCGTGTCTCGGCGGTAGCAGGAATGTTTTTCCTCGCCACAACTTCCAGACAGGCCGTGGGGCGCACCCAACTCCAATGCGTACGCATACTCTATGCCCTGGACGCGGTGTGAAGTTGACCATTCACCTCAGTCTAGCACCGAGGTTAAGAATGCTTGGAGCCATATCTCCACTCCCCACATGTGAGACACAGCAAGCTGGATCAAGCTGTAACGTTTGCTATTCTGGAGATGCCAGATAATGTTCTCGGCCGAAACACTGACTACCTCGACTACAGTCTTTTGTGGTTTTCTACAGCCCTTCCACGAAATTCCAGGATAGTACCTCTAATTAGGTCATGAGCCTTCCTTTTAGATCATTATTCACTTTTCAGCATAGTAGTCGACGCTACAAAGTCTGAGATACCGTCAGCGCCGTTAAATAAGCCACAAATGAATACATTAATTTAAAAAATTCGCTTAGTAGGGGTGGAGTCCAGCTGGGTCCACTCGGCACGGCGGCAATTGATTGGCCTATTGTACC